TGCTTTTTGTAGCATTTAACACACAGATGGTTGAATGGAAGAAAAGAAACTGAAGGAGACTAGATAGCGATGTTCGCTGGCTAACCTAACTATCATTGCATTATGCCGTTATGTGTAGTTTTGGATCCGTCTTAATTGACCGTTGCAAGAAGGTTTAGTTAGGTTGTTGGCGGTATAGAGCTTTATGCGCTGGTCGTGAATCGAGTTCACGATCGGATCGGATCGATCAGTTCAGATGTTTTAATTACCCTCGATATCGAGCTGGTAACGTGACTCTTTCACAGTTCTTTTTGCCACCAAATTAGAAATGAAAACAAAAAATTTCCAATACCTCATCTTAGTGTCATGCTTAGCCAACAACTCAGTCTTTGGGCGTCCCTGGAATATGGACTATCTTTTCGATTTGTTTCTCATGTATTTTTATTTTTATCATCATCCGCAATAACTAATTTGTAACGTTTTTCTGTTTTACTCATTGATCTCAGGTCATCATATCATTTCGAGTATGCCGATTATATTGATAAGAATTGTGTGATACTGAGCAGTTTTATCTAAAGGGATCCCGGAAGAACTACATTTAAGCTTTTACGCATGCGCAGAAAATTCATTACCCATACCCGGGATTTGATATTACTGAGTGCCTTCCTGAAAAGATGGACTTATTTCCTACCCAAAAAATATCACTCACTGTACCAACATAGATTTCAAAACCAGCGCGAATTTTTAATTTTCAGTGAAGAGACGAGATTTGTCATCTAGTCGAGAACAACTTTTTCTCCACAGTCAAGAGATCTCTTTTATTTAAGTCAACATTGTTTTTTCAACTCGTAATCACAACTTTTCACCCGATGTTTATCTAACCTTGATCAAGGCCGTTAAGAAGAGCCCATAACTTGGCACAATGCTTGATGGGCTCAGATGCAAAACACGGATTGTTTTGCTCAGGCCTTTTTATATTATTTTCAATAACTGTGAGAGCAGGTCATTAAATTGGAAAAGACCTACCCTTTCCACTTTAGAGGACACAAAAATGGACTGTTAGTTTTAAAACAACGGAAGGATAAATATGAGGATTAATTGATCTTTTAATGCAAGTGAAGTATTCCATTTTTTTTCATGAATCCAGTTGTTATGTTGTGCTTTTTAAATAAATCCAGCGTGGTCAAGAACTTTGATCTGTCTTCAGTTTTGCCAGTCGATCCCGTGACATACATTATGACAAATATAACTTTTTTTGGTTGAAATCTGCATTTATTGCCAGGCATGAAACCCGTAACTTCAAGCTCCCCTGAGACTTAAACTCTTTGAGTGTTGGCGTTATGTGACCGTATTTTCTCTTCCCTAACAGTCTATCGTGTTATGAATGCGAGTGCAAGACTTATATATCGTGCGCACAAGTTCTGTCATATAACACCTCTACTCGCAGAATTACATTGGTTACCAGTGCGCTCCAGGATACATTATAAGATACTCTTGATAACTTTTAAAATTTTGCATGGCCTATCACCTAAGTACCTTTCAGATTCAATTAGCATTCAACCGCCTTCGTCCTACCATTTGAGGCGCAAAGACAATGGTCGTTTGTTGGAAAGACCAAGTGTCAAAACCAAGAAAACATTGGGAGACAGAGCTTTCCAGGTAGCTGCTCCCTTCCTGTGGAATAAGCTGCCAAGGTCCGCGCGCGAAGCAACGAACTTAGAATCTTTTAAGACTTTAATTAAGACATTTTTACTTAAGGAATCATTTCAGTTATCTTAGTTTATCTATATCTTTATTTTAATTATCTTTTACTCATTTTATGTAAATATTTTTTATGATTTTTATAGAAAGATTTGTAAAATTTTTAGTAATTAATTACTGTTGTGATGCGCTTTTGAATATTTTATGGAAAAGGCGCAATACAAATAATAAACGTTATTGTTATTGTTGTTATTGTCTAACGGCAAAGTTCTGAGCTAGCTGACGTTTCAATAGCAATGTTCAAATTGCTAGTGCCTGACCACAAAGACGAGCAGTAAAAAAGCCTTCGAGGTCCTTGACAGAGTTAACAACAGGCAATTGCTAGGAACATTAATTATGGATGGTATGGCCAATTGCACCAGCACCTTGTAAGAGCCAAACAGACAGTATTGGTCTTTTTAAGGTTTTATTGAGAACTTTATTTTCACAAACAACAAGAGGATGAAAAGCGACTTAAATCCAGTCGTAGTTCTTCAAGTCCTCCATTAACATATTTATTTTAAAGTTAATTGCATAATGCTTAGAGTCATCTAAAACAGTGAAAGTGTTACAAACTGATGGAAGGTCTTTTATGTAGAACACTTGAAGGGGATGAACAGAAGGGTCACTAGGATAGAACCCTGTGGACCTCCATGCTTGATCGAGTGAAGAGTAAGCTGTTGATTCGGACGCGTTGTTTTTGTCAGTCAGATAGCTTTGGGACCAGGGCAAAGGCAATTTAGAGACACTGAGATTTTGTAATTTCACTAGCAGTTTCTGGTGGTCAATGCTATCAAATGCTTGCTGAAATCCAGTATTACGACGGCTGTTACCTTTTTTCACGTCGATAGCTTTGTACAAGTAGCAAGTGAAAAGAATCCCCAACAGTTCCGTAGAATGACGGAGTGAAATAAAATTGTGCTTGTAAGTCACCCTGACCATTTTTTTTTTCTGAAGTTAAATGTTAATTAATTGACCAAGTGGTAATGGGTATAAGAAAACCACTTCACGTTTGGAGTGCCTGTCCATTGCACTACGAAATATGATTATGAAGTCAAATATCATTTCAAATGCCAAAGTTAAACTTAAATTACTCAAAACTTAAATTTAATTGACTCCAAGTTCATTTGCTCCAAAAGTAAAAAGTACTGAATATATTTTTAAATTCGTCATCGAATCGCCAATTTCGTTTGTTTTACCTTATTATACATGACGCTTGAAAAAGGTAACCCTTTGAGGGTGGACCCCCCTCCCTACCCCCTTATGGGCCGCCACCATAGGGAGTGTCCCTATCTAGGGACAAGCGCGCTTCAATATCAAACGTTTTAAAACGACATGTGCATGAAAGGATTACGTGTAGTAATGGTTTGATCGGAATTCGGTATTATTGTGGGCTTTAGGATAAAGATAGGATTTTTGCTGGTATTCGTCACCAGGTATACAATATATCTGGATACAGGAGCAGGCTGGTACAAGTTTTATTTTTGTTGTTGTTGAAAAACATTATCTTATAAACTCCTTTTTAATCTGGCAAATTCTCACGACTGGCTAAAACCATTTTCCCTGATTCAACCGGTTGCTTCCAATGACATTATGAAAAATTAACGACTCAAGAACTAGCTGACTTAGCTTTCAAAAGTTCACTCATTGACAGTTTCTATTTTTTTTAACATGCTTTGATATTCAAGAAAATGTTCGACAAAGGAAATTTTAATCTCACAGGAGGCCAACTAAAGAATTTACCTAAAGAGAAAACATCATTGGTTTTTAGATCATACCGCAACGATACAGCAGGTTGAATCTTTATTAGTTAATTAGAAAAAGCTTTGCTTGCCAAAAGTAATTCATTGGGCTGTCATACTAGTTTGCTTTTACGGTTTTAATATTAAAATTTTGTAAAAATGTTTTTATGTTTGTTTGAACTGCTCTATTAGCATAAAATGGATTATATTGCAAATCAAGAGAGAAAAAATAAATGTTTCCTCGAATTAAAGAGAAAAACGGTTGGTGTTGTCTTTGGTAAAAATTGCTGATTGTCACAAGACGCTTCGCTCAGTTCATATGTTTCGTTTTCCTCATTCGTATCCAACTGTTCAATAAAACGTCTTTCGTCGGTTTTGTTGATGATCAAAAAAGAAAGTGGATGAGCAACGAGTGTAGAAGTACCATTTAACGTATTTTTCGCTTTTTGGAATAATAAAATGTCAGTGGTTTAATTTTGCATAAGAACCGAAGGTTCTGGGCTTTGCGCCTTTTTCTTCTCTGAGTTCATATTAACAAATACATGATTAATAACTGAAAATATATTTTACAGTGAAGTGATGCGATGCTAACAATAATTTCGAGAGTAAAAACATTATTGCTAGTCAAGACTAGATAGGAAACCCTCAGACTGAATGAAGAGTGTAAAAAAGGAAGTTCTGATTTGTTCACTATATATAATAAATATAAGAAGCTGGAGAAAAATCAAAATGGTTGTTTCTTTCCGTTCAGTCCGCCTCGTAAATACTAAATTAAGAATTGCAGGAGCGAATTTTTTGGGGGAAGTAGTATCAGAAAAACTCACGCGACAACAACAAACATCACAGCTCCCTGCAGGTATACTAATAAGCATTCGGGGTTTTGCTCAGAAGGGATATAATTCAAGGCAGCAAGAGGCCCAAAAGACAGCAATAATTGTTTTAATATCAGGTGCTACGATTCACAGCGTCATTATCATTTGACCATAATATCCCTCTTATGTATTCAGAGAATTATTACCTACAAAGCACCAGCTTAGATATTGTTGCTTTTTATTGGAACATGTGTAACTTATAATGTTCTGGTAATAAAAAAAATTAATGAAAAGGACACGAGAACTAAAGCGATATTCAGCTAGTTCCACTGGGCCAAGTAATTTAGTTCAATTTGTAGTCTTAGATCAAAGAGAAAAAAACTAAACAGAAATACTTGTATGCTGATACAAGTAAGCTTATTATTCTTCATAGACTTCGGTAAAATAATTCATTTTGTGGAGTCATTTTAGATCATTTGCGACATGTCAAGTGCTTCAAGGGTCGGGCTGTGCGTTGGACGAGTTAGAATCAAACATTTGAACAATTAGACAAGTGTGTTAATTGCCACTCCAAAGCGGCCGAAAAGTGCTAATCTAAAAACATTATATTGCCTCTCGTGACAATTTTCTCATTAAGTCTCACCTATGTCATCTGCGGGTAATGGGACTTCTTTTCTTTGTAAGACAGAAACAAGGTGCTTGCTATTCATTGTAGAGCGGATAGAAAATGGAAGTAACATTCGATCTTTGCAATGAAGTTCTGAAGAAGTTCTATGGTAAACCAGACGACGTGTACCCACTATATCTGGTTATGTGTGTTCTTAATGGTGTTCTCTCTTTGACCTCGGTTTTGGGAAATATAAGTATAATCTTCGCGTTAAAGAAAACTTCATCAATTCCTTTGTCAACGCGAAGTCTACTACAGTGTTTAGCGCTAACAGATCTCGCCACTGGTTTCCTGGGCCATCCTCTTTACATCGCTATCATGTCAGGAATTCGGCAAGAGTATAGTTGTGAGAATATCCATGTAATACTATTTTCATTTTTCATGATAGAAGGTTTGTTACTTTCCGCATCATTTACAACAGTGACTTTAATGGGAGTGGATCGGTTTCTGGCAATTTTCTTGCATCTTAGATACAACGAACTAGTAACTCCAAAGCGAACGGTCACCGTAGTACTTGCGTTGTGGATTTTCGGACTAGTTACCACTATCATCTCTGTCTTCTGGTATTTTAAGGCTGGGGAGACACTTTTGCTAATTTTTGGTTATAACTGTACGCTTTTACTTAGCATCATATACATTAAACTCTTTTCCGTCGCTCGTCAGCACGCAGCATGCATAAACAGCCAAGCGCAGGTGGCAATACATTTGTCAAATTTCACAAGCATGACTCGGAGCAAAAACTTGGCCATCAAAACATTTTATGTATATGTTGTATTTTTGCTGTGTTATTGTCCTTATTTAATCGTTTTAACTGTGTTGTTTGTTAGTTCACGGCCGAGTACAACGATGAAGGGAGCTGTTCAACTTACAACAGTTTTAATGATGCTCAATTCATCGTTAAACCCTCTGGTGTTTGGTTGGAAAATGAGGGAAGTTCGTCAAAACGTTAAGAATTATTTTAAAAGTTATTTTTTCCATAAATCAGATGAAGCCTTCCTTTGGGTTACACGTTCAGCAGACAAACATCAAAAAATCGTAACTAGTCTAGCTTGGTCCTGAGTAGAAAAATTAATGCCGGCGGGAAACCAGGGTGTAACTCGTCGTCGAGAGCCTCCTTTAGCTTTAACAACTATAGAAGGCTGTTTTTTTCTTTTTCTTTTTTTTTTTTTCAAATCCATCAGATAGTGATAAGGCATCAAAGGTTTTTTAGTGCATTTTGTCTGGGACTTAAACGGATTGGCTTTCAAGCATGGAATGCTTGCCAAGGGCAATTTATGACCTCATTTATTTAGCTGTCATTTTTCTGCCTTGCATGTACGGTTTTAATAAAACTAGTTATTCGTGTTCATTTGCAATCTTTCTTGATAGTTCAGTAATGTATCTTTCGTGCATTTAATAATTTTAACTACTGGGAGTGTGTCGAAGGACTTGGGTGAGGGACTGAAGGAAACGACAATTCTGTGATTGGGAGGCTTAAGAGGATTTTAATATACTACTGCTTCGTTACGGTGCGCTGCGAAATCGCGACTGATTCTAGGGCCTTAAATAAACCTAGAAAAATAACCAAAAACGTCCACCGTAAATTCTCATTTAAAAATGCTTTAAATCATGGGTACAGAAGCCCATAAAATGACAGTAAATACAAGCAGAAGTATATAACTCCAATGCAGGAGTTTTGGAGTTCCTATATGCCTGAACTTAACTTATATGATAAATCTAACCAACATAGTATGCAAGTGTTGGATTTCTTCGTTGAAAAAGCTCATCGTACTTCATTGCCTTTTAATAAAGATTGAAAATGACAATTCATAGGAGGCAATTTATGGACTTGATGTAATGTGGTTTTTTTATTTGTGCAAATTATCAGGAAACGGTTTACCCCGGCCAGTTCTGACAACACACCTTAACTTACTGGAAAATACAATGAAAACAAAGGCCGAAAAGCTAAGTAGAAGCCGATTGAGTAGATAGGATTATTTAATATGTCAAATTTTTTTTACTTGTTTTCTATCACGAGGTGCTCGCCGCCACTTGCTTTTAATTATTAAGCAACGCTAAATAACATTGTAGCGGAATTATCTCCCATTCAATATGACAGGAGAAAAGTGAGAAGTTAGCCCATAGTTTAAAATGTTTAATTCTGTTGGTTTAATGTTATGTAATTGACGGTTTTGTCGGTATCATCTTTTAACTAATTCCTATTTGGGTGATTTATTTCCTCTATTTTTCACCTTGGGCCATTCGCCTGGTCAGTAATAATAACATGTCGTTTTAGACTCAGACCAACTGCTTTTTTCTTTGTACTCAGTAATGATGCCAAATGATCAGCGACTGAGATGTTAGATAAGTAGTAAAGTACCTTCAGGCAGTTTAAGCTAAAAAAACTTTATAATTCAGCTTGCGTTATGAAAAATAGAGGATTGTTGTTTTGGTATAAAATTAAAAAAACCCGACAATTCAAATTATGCCACGTACATACATTCATTTAAATTTTCAGTGGTTTCTGCCTGGAGGCTAAGCAAGCCACAGAGTTGGCGCTGACTTTGTTTCAGTGCCTTTTAGCAGTCAACCTCAAAGAAAAAACAAAATTACCAAGTCCAGGATTGTCAAGCACTTCCATCTCGTTGCTCTCTCCAAGAAATACGATATGATTGTCTTAATAGAAATGAAACTAACATTACATAACTTTCGTACGATATTTATTCTGGACTCTTTTAACTTTATCAATATTAATTGTTCAAGAGGACTGTATTTGTTTTACTATTAGAGAATCAAGCCATTGGAAAAATTATATCGGTGAGCTAATTTGTCAGTCAAATGACGACTAAAGGTGCTAATTTCATGCGCTTACGTAAAATAAGAAAATTAAGAAAGTTTTTTATTCTCCTTGTACAAATTACCTTCAGAACGTCAACCGCGTAAAAACTACTTGATGCGCAAGATCACCAACTTGTAAGTCAGGGGATGCTGCGTATGCAGAAGTTAAAATGGCAGCATCACTCAAACTTTGCAATGAGGTTTTGATGAAGTACTATGGAAAACCTGAGGAAGTTTACCCTCTATATATTGTAATGTGTGTCCTTAATGGTTTTCTCTCGGTGACCGCGGTTTTTGGAAACGCGAGCCTAATTTCTGCGCTGAGAAAAACTTCATCTATTCCTTCGTCAACAAGAACTCTGCTTTGGTGCTTGGCGATAACAGACCTCACCACTGGGGTACTAGGTCATCCACTCTACATCTCCGTAATTTCAAAAGTTCGGCAAAATTATAGCTGCGAGAACGTTCATGAAACTTTGCTAGCATTTTTCCTGATACAAGCTTCGTTAACTGGTTGCTCATTAATGGTGGTGACTTTCATCGGAGTGGATAGATTTCTTGCAATTTATTTGCATCTTAGATACAATGAACTAGTCACTACAAAGCGAATAATCACCGTGGTACTTGCGTCGTGGACTTTTTCCCTGGCTACCATTTTCATATGTGTCTTCTGGTATTTTAAAGTTGGAGAAGTGGTTTTGCTTATTGTTGCTTACTGCTCCACGGTTTTGCTCAGTATCATATACATTAAACTTTTTCTCGTCGCTCGTCAACACGCAGCAAGCGTAAACAGCCAGGCGCAAGTGGCAATGCATCTGTCAAGTTTCACAAGCATGGCTCGAATCAAGAACTTAGCCATCAAAACCTTTTACGTATATGTTGTATTCTTACTGTGTTATTGTCCGTATTTAATCACCTTAACTCTGTTGCTAGTGAGTCCTCAGCCGAATGCAGCTGTAAAGGGAGCCATACAACTTACAACAGTTCTAGTGCTGCTCAATTCATCGTTAAATCCAGTCGTTTTCGGTTGGAAAATGAAAGAAGTTCGACAGATTGTTAAGAATGATTTCCAAAAGTTCATTTTTTGGAAAGCTGAAGATGTGTAATCGAGGGAACATGCAGAAACGTTTACGTTTCTTTCCGGCATTTAATTAAGCGAATAGGGTCCTGAGCGCGTCCGTATGAAGTTAAAATCAAATCAGCTGACATAAACGTTTAATAAAATTTATAACTTAACCCAGCTAAGGTCAGAGGACCTCTTTGCTCGCAAAAACAAGTTATAATTATTAAACATGCTTTTTTTCTTTTTTAAATTTATATCTCCTGATTACTGGTTGTAAGTAATCCTGTTTCAATAAACAGTTGAGAAAATGTAATTTACATTGAAGGTACGCGCACGTTAGACTAGCAAAAAAGGAGGAGACAGACATCGCAGTTTCATGCTTAGTGCTTATACGGCAAAAGATATGCTTTTTTTTTAACTTTGACGGAACGTTCGTTCATCCAATGACAAGTAATTTATCAGCTTTCCAAAAGTATTCTAATTAGCTGTCAAGTTCTCCTTTTTAATAAAAGCGCGCGCATTATTTATATCTGTTTACAGCCTTCCTTAGAAAATCGTCTTTGCTATTTTTGTTTTGTGAGTTGCAGAAGTTGTGCCCTGAAAAAAAAATGACATGATAGTGGTATCATTCCTCTTTAAAAAAAAAAAAAAATTAGAAGCAGGTAGAGTTCCGCCCCAAATATCACTTTTTTTTGGCAGTCAAAATTCAGCTGGTTGAAGATCTTCGGATGGGAATTAATTACTATTTCTAGAATTTCAAGTACAGGTGGTTGGATGGAAAGACAGAGAAAGAAAACTGAAGGAGACTAGAAAAGACCACTGTTGACGGGCAAAGTGACGTCCGCTGGCTAAATCGCAGAAGCGTTAAGCCAGTTTAATTTTTTAGCAGTTTTGTGTCCGTCAAGGGTTGGTGTAAGAGAGAGCGATTCAGTGGGGATTCGGCCGTAAATTGCTTTAAAAACGCTTTTATTATGCGGTCGCGGATCGAGTTCAAGAGGGGACAAAAGGCGGGTGTTTTAATTACCCATCTTATTAAGCTGGAAGCTGGACTTCTTCTCCAGGTAGTGGGAAATAGCTTTTCTTTTGCCAGCAGCTTCAAAAAGAGTAGGCCTCGTTTTATAATCATGTTTCACCAATAACTGTCTTTGGACGCCCCTGGAAAATTTGTTTTGCTCGTATTTTTAGTATTGTTATCAATGATTCCTGCTAATTAGTGATACTTTCCTATTAAGCAGAAAATGCATTTAAGAATATTCATTATACATACCCGGGATTTGATATCATTGCTGCCTTCCTAAAATGTCTTGTTGGAATTAAACTAACACTTACTGTATGCCATTGTGATAGCTGTTAAAATGCTACTACGATCAAATCTTTGACTACCATTTTTTTTCGCTACATTGGCAGTTTAATACTTGAAGTACATAGTGTGCAAGTTATAGGTTCATACGATTAAGGAAAGTGGTATTTTTGGGCGCTCAAAAACCATTAATTTTCGTCCGCCATTAAAACGCTATGTTCCTGTGGCCTGGTTACCAAGAACACAAGGCAATTACTTTGTGACGTCATTTACTTAACGCAGTTACACACAGCATGATAATTTTCTTCCAAGAACCCTGCTCAACAATGTTCCCTCTCCTCCCACTTCGATGCGTTCTTGTTTAGGAAGACTCTTTCGATCTTACTACATTAGGCTCCGTATGTGTGCAGCAACCGCTTCAATCGATAGAACTGAGCTGCACGCGAGTCTGACCAACTGAATGTGAGATTCGAGGAATAGGTTTGTTTCCAGCTGACAGTTTCGCTGTTTTCTCGGTTTGATAACTTCGAAGAGTGCTGCAATAGCATTTACGGGGCTTTCAACGCAAACCAGAGGCGGAAAATTAAACTTGGATCGTTTGCTAGCATATGGAAGAAAGATCAATCGACAGATCTTGAATCGGTGCAGTGAATGTCCCCAACGCTAAGTTTATTTATTTTTTGCTTTTAGTACTGGCGAAGTCATCGAAGACAAATTTTTTCTTAGACCTTTCTTCGACTGGAACGCGACGACTACGAAACTTTTAGGAAACTTTCAAAAAGATTTGCCCCAAGCCAACAGATCACAGAAAGCCCTCTAGTTTTGTAAACACTATTATTGCTCACACCTTGCTCTTCTATTTTTTCTGTTACCACTATTAACATTCCTTTGAGATTTTATAAAAAGCTTTAAAGCTCTATTTGTAAATTTTTATTATAAAATATTAAAATCTATCAGGATCATGGTGCAATCTGAATGGTATGATATTTTAATATACAGTAAATTCCTTAGTATTTCCAACATTCTGGTCGCCATAACCCTCACTAAACAAAAGGTATGCTTTTCTCAATTTTCGTCTTCCCAAAACTCAGAGCCTGATTTAAACTGCACAGACACATTGTCAGTTCAAACCACAAGCTAAAGCAAGAGAGCCCACACAAGTTTATGGCAAAAACTGTTTTTGCAATTTTGTAAAATACAGCAAGAATTATTACCATTTACTGATGTGGTCTTTAAAATAAAATTGTGATTCTATCTTGAATGTTGTGTATTGTTATTCTTTTGAGTGAATAACGAAAAGTTTTTCAATCTCGCATTGAATACTTATAATAATTATAATTATAGTATATCATAATTTGAGATGTAAACTCCAACACCAGGGGCACTCATGCACTGAATCACTGAAGTGATGTGACTGACAGATTGCAAGTTAGAAATGAATAATCACCAAGGCTTGGTCACTGAAATAATTACTGCAACTGAGGGTTATGTACATGTGTGAGATAGTTTCATGGCCCCTGCTCATCACTGCCGCTTTATGTTTCACTACTCAAGGTTGTGCTCTACCAGCACCCAGTTGGCCCGTGGTGCTTAACTGTGCTGTTCATGTGCTGGGCACCCAGGATTTCACGGGTCCAGAGCACTGGGCTCCTTTCAATTTTTCTTAGAGCACAGCCTTGCTACTTCAAAAAACCTTGGTGTATCTGTTAATATGGGATAGACTAATGTTATTCCTATAAATGAGGAAGCTTCATCGCCCCTTACCACATACAAAGGCACTGTCCACCCTACTGTAACAATTGATCTGCACACTTGTTGATCACAAGATAAATGTGAGGCCCCAGCTAAGAACTTGGAGGACAAGTTTAGGTCTTACGTACCATGTGCAATATACAAATCCATTATTTTTTAGTCATATCAGTGATTACAATAAACAAGCCAAGGGCTGTAATACTGTTTAAAGGCTGCAATTATTGTTCTTTGTTGCCTGATTTAGCATAGTCTATTTGGGGGGTATTATATAGCCTGAGCCAAGCTAGGGCAGGGCCCACGCAGGGCAAAGGGGCTTCCCCACTTTTTGAAAAATAAATAAATAAAATTAAGTACAGTGGAACCTTGACATAACGAAGGGCTAAGGGACTGGCAAAATATGTTTATTATAACAAGGTTTGTTAACTTTTATCGAGGTTCTTTTTCATATTGCCTTATATTCTACTATTACTGGAGTAAAGAAAAAATAGTTTGTTAGACCAAGGACTTCGTTATAGGGGTTCCATTGTAATATACATTTTCATATGAATAGTATCTTTGTTGGAATAAGAATCTTCCAGCATCTAAATTTATTATTGGTCCGTTTTGATCCCATCAGTCTGATGCGTGGTAAGCCTCAAAAAGTCAATTGTCCTAGATTTCTGCATTTTTAAACCAGCAAAGCTATGTAGCATTTGCAACAAAAAATGCGGAATAGTCTTTTTTGATGAAGGTTCTTGATTAAATCTGAAGACTATTCCATGAACTACGGTTTCTTAAAACGAATTATATCAGCTGATGATGTGGTCTCTGGCACATTTCAATGGCATGCTAGACAAAATGAAGGCATTACAGGAACCTACAGTGTAATATCATGATCTGCAAACTTCTAGTGGTGGATTCAGCTTGTCCAATCACGCTCAGCAGGAGAAAGGTACTTTTCAGCGGCTTGAAATTTATGAACATGACTCTGGTCAACAATGACTCAAGAAAGGTTCAGTAATCTGACAGTTCTAAACAGCCACAAAGAAAGAACAGCCAAATTTGCTCTCCCCCAACCTCAGTGTTGGTGGTCACCGGCCCGCGCACGTTAAAAACTGCTTCCCAGGCCCTCTTAGGGGTTTTAACTCTTAAAAATGCTAGTTTCTAATAATATTTTAAGACCAATTTATGTCCTCATAAATTTAAGTTAATGGGACAACCATGAGAGATTACGTGCCGGTTGTGTGACATGCTTTAAGGTATGGGGTAGGGTTTCACAGTCCAAAGTTTAGCGTGATCACATGCATTTGTAACGCAAACTGTTCGCTGAGCCAATCAGAATCGGCTGGTATTTCACTGTCAATCAATCCTCAGACATCGAGCACGAGTTGTGTGTTCATTCATTCATTCGCTGCGAGCTAGCAACTGTATTTGTCTTGTTCTACAATGTGTTTTCGCAGCCGTTCAATTTGCTTTTTCGCTCGCTTCTGAGACGGTTTCCCTATCCTGTGAGGCGATCCTGTGAGGTGTTTTCAAGTTGCAAATCATGCCGCCACGAGCACGCCGGTCGACTTCCCGCCCAGGCGCACAACCGAATATCGACCCGACCGTGCTTGGAGCCCTATCCATCGCCGACCTTCGCTCTCTTTGTGTTCAACATGGGATTCCGTCGACAGGAGTCAAAAAGACTCTCGAACGCCGGCTCCGGGACCTGAACAATCCACCACCAATTCAGGTTCAAGACATTAATGAACACGAACCAGCAAATCCAAACAACGACGAAACGGCGGCACACAGGCAAGAGCGCCCTGAGTTTACAGACGGCCAGATGCAGACGATTCAACGATTAATTGCGGACACTGTGAAACAATCCGCCAGGGAGATAGCGACCGAAGCGGCTAGGGCCGCTGTGAGTGCTTCGTCGAGCCTCCTTGCCCAAAGGCCCCCTTCGCTGGTGCGTGAAACAGCGCCCGACACGACAGCTCCCACGAACACTGCGGCGGTAAATTTCGCATCGCCATTCCAAGACATCCCAGGGCAGTATATCAAAGACATCCAATGTGGTGAGTTTTTTGATCTTTCCAAACTACTTCCTAAGAACCTGTCGCTGCACGACGAGGAGGATAATCTTGTCCTCTCCTTAGAGAACTCCGTCGTTAAGGTGTCGAAGAAATCGAAGCAGACGGCCTCCACCTCTATTACCGATATTGAACAGTGGACCACTGCTTTTACGTCCTATATGAGTGTACTAATCGACAAGTTCCCAACACGATCGCAGGAACTCTTGCAATATGTTAGTTTAATTAGATACGCAGCCCGTGTGCACAAAGGGTTAGGATGGGCCATTTATGACTTTAAGTTTCGCCAGAAAGCTAGCGTCAATAAGTCTATTAATTGGTCAGTGGTTGACACTCAGCTTTGGTTAACCATTTTCACCGTGTCACCAGCGATACTCAAAGAAGAGTATCCGCTTTTTTCAAATGGACCCCAGCGAAATGTGTCTACAACAGGGGATGCGAACAGAGGCACATGCAACTTTTACAATAGGAGTGGCACATGTAATAGAGACCCCTGCTATTTCAGACATGTGTGTAACAGATGTAGTGGATTACACCCAAGGGTTGACTGCCCGGCCCACCCTGTGCGGCAACCAGAGCGGGAAGGGGGGAGGCATAGAGAAAGTGACCATGGTGGAAGCTCAAAGTCAAGTTCCTCTCATCGAAAGTGAGAACACTACTTGCCCCCTCCCGACCCCTATTAATGTACAACGACTTGAGGAAACATTGACTCATCATCCTGATCGGGAATTTGTCTCGAAATTGTGTAACAATCTTAGGTATGGGGCCGATGTGGGTTTTACTGGGAGACGTGTTGCTAGATTTTCTAGGAATCTGCCCACTGCCCTTTCCCAACCAAATATTGTTTCAGAAAACCTTTCCAGGGAAGTGGCCCTGGGGCGAGTTGCAGGTCCTTTCCCCACCCCACCACTGCCCAATTTCCAGGTGTCACCCATCGGATTGGTCCCCAAAAAACATTCTACGAAGTTTAGGACCATCTTTCACTTATCTTTCCCAAAATCTGGAGCGACAAGTATCAACTCTTCAATCCCCAAGGAGGATTTCAGCCTTCAGTATATAACAATCGACAATGCAATCCACGGGATTTTGAGCCTCGGGCAAGGGTGCTTTCTTGCGAAGACCGATATCGAGTCAGCGTTTCGCCTCATCCCTCTTAGGCCTTCAGATTATGAGCTCTTCGGCATGTATTGGGAGGGTAGCTACTACTATGACAAAGTTCTTCCCTTTGGCTTGAGGAGTGCCCCTTTCCTGTTCAATTTACTGTCCGATGCAATAGAGTGGATCCTCCTCAATCAATGCCAGGTTTCGTTTGTTTGTCATATCCTCGATGATTTTTTAATCATCGAACCAGCATTATCCTCTCCCCCTCTAAATTTGCTATGCCAGCAGAGCTTGAATAGCATGCTCTTGACCTTTAGGAATCTGGGTATCCCCATTGCAGCCAACAAAACAGAGGGCCCCTCTACTACCCTTGAGTTCATGGGAATTATCCTGGACACCGTCCGGATGGAGGCGAGACTCCCAGCAGATAAGGTGGAACGGATACAGGCCTCCCTTGCCCTCTTTCAAACAAAAAAGGACATGCACCCTAAAGGAGTTACAGTCACTCATTGGGACTTTAAACTTTGCATGCAAAGTTATTCCCCTGGGAGGCCCTTTCTTCAGCGCATGATTGAGCTCACTCGTAAAGTCGCTAAACCTCACCACCACATTAAATTAAGCCAGGGTTTCTTCAAGGATCTCACTATGTGGCAACAGTTTATCCACACCTGGAATGGGGCCGGGTTTTTCCTCCCTACTTCATGGCTAGACTCCGACTCCTTAGAACTCCATACCGATGCCTCAGGCACACTTGGGTACGGTGGGATATTAGGTCAGAAATGGTTTCAGGGTAGGTGGGAGACTCACCACCTGCTCAATGCTCCTGGTATAAGCATTGCCTGGCAAGAGTTATTTGCTTTGGTGGTAGCATGCCACCTATGGGGGGATGAGTTTGCCAATAAGCGTATCGTTTTCTATTGCGACAACCAATCGGTTGTCAATATAGTAAACTCCAAACGATCCCACATTCCTAGGGTTATGGATCTGGTTCGCCTTTTTACCCTCTTGACTTTAAGACATAACTTCTATCCAAGGGCGGAACATATTGAAGGCAAGAAAAATGACATCGCGGATTCCCTCTCTCGATTTCAGATGGAGCGTTTTCGCAGCCTGGCCCCTCATGCAGACCCAGCCCCATGTCCTGTACCCCCGACAATGTTGGTGATCTGAATGCCGACATCCAGAAGTACTTACGTCTCTCTGTTGCTGCCTCTACTAAACAAACATATACCTCTGGTGAACGTAGATTTTTGGACTTTTGCACCCTCCACAGCCCACACAGGTCAACTTATTTGCCCACCAATGAAGAGACTCTAATTCAGTATGTTGCATATTTAGCCAAAACAATTAAACACTCATCCATCAAGGGTTACCTGGCTGCAGTTAGACACCTGCATATCCGCTCAGGCTATGACCTGGACCTTAAGAAATTCTTGCGCCTGCAGTTGATTTGCCGCGGCATCAAGCGTTCCCAGGGCGATTCTACCCGCATTCGACTCCCTATTACAATAAACCACCTCAAATTGTTCTTCCAACTTCTTGCAATCCCAACCTCCCTAGTTATGACTCCATTATGGTATGGGCAGCCATGACCTTAGCCTTTTTGGTTTCCTCCGCCTGGGAGAAATGACCTGCAACTCACCCTATTCATCTACACGCCACTTGTCTCCAGGGGATGTGACCTTTTTCCCCAGTATTCAGAACCCTGACCATATGTCAGTTAGGATAAAAATATCCAAAACTGACCCATTTCGTTCGGGTCAGACTATTGTTATTGGAAAGACTGACCAGAGGGTCTGCCCTGTTTTGGCTATGACAAATTATTTGTCCTACCGGGGTCCACACTAGGCCCACTTTTTCAGTACTTGTCGGGTGCTCCCCTCACAAAAGCGGGACTTACCTCCGAAACTAGGCAGCTTCTCTCTATGTCAGGTTTTCAGCCCTCTCAGTATGCGGGACATAGCTACCGAATTGGGGCTGCCACAACCTCGGCTTCTGTGGGCCTACCCCCTTGGCTAATAAAAACACTGGGGCGGTGGTCCTCTGACTGCTATGAAAGATATGTTCAGTGCCCACCTTCCCTTCTTTCTGGGGTTTCCTGTCAGCTGTTAGGTGATACCTTAAATTAGTTAATCCATTACTTATTCTAGGGGTCAGGGTTGTTTCGTCTATGGGGAATACACTTTGTGTATTTGTGGGGATGAAGTGCTCCCTTACAGGCACTCTTGGCCCCATAGACTCACAGAATTGATGGGTTACCATGGTAACCATGAGTCTAAACTCCCTTAGCCATAGGACTAGGAACCTCTTTCAGGGTATTGTGACCTGCAGCCCTGAGGGGGAGTAGGGACCTTTTCAGGGTATTGTGACCTGCAGCCCTGAGGGGGAGTAGGGACCTTTTCAGGGTATTGTGACCTGCAGCCCTGAAAGGGAGTAAGGACCTCTTTCGGGGTATTGTGACTGCAGCCCCGAAGAGGATTAGGAACCTCTCCCAGGGGTTTGTGACCTGCATCCCCGGAGAGGAGGGGGCTTTGACCCCCCTTACCAAGCCAGATTAGTGATTTATCTATTGATGGCATTTAGTTCCACCGGCCTGCTATTGGAGTACTTCATTCCCAACCCCTTACCCCACATATTGTTGTTGTGTTCTTATTTCTCATGGGTTGGGAGCATTAAAGACCAATTTATGTCCTCATAAATTTAAGTTAATGGGACAACCATGAGAGATTACGTGCCGGTTGTGTGACATGCTTTAAGGTATGGGGTAGGGTTTCACAGTCCAAAGTTTAGCGTGATCACATGCATTTGTAACGCAAACTGTTCGCTGAGCCAATCAGAATCGGCTGGTATTTCACTGTCAATCAATCCTCAGACATCGAGCACGAGTTGTGTGTTCATTCATTCATTCGCTGCGAGCTAGCAACTGTATTTGTCTTGTTCTACAATGTGTTTTTCCCTCCCTCCCACCCTATGGTTTAAGCATGTCACACCCAAATTAACACTAGTATTACACAATGCTTATGAATTTGCGAATAGTTGTAATATATCTTACTTAAGCTGTTAAGCTGGGCCTTTGGCCCCCATGTTAGGGATCATTGACTAGCTTTCCTATGTACAGCCACTGTTCATGTTTCTAATTTTCAGATTCACAGCAATATGTATTGATATCTCTTTATACAACACGTTACAGTTATGAGCTATTTTTTGTTACTGTTAGCAACCAGTGCTGTTGGTATTAATTTTATGCAGTTTACATGCATCAAAGACACTGAATGAACTGTTTAGCCTTGTCTAATCCCAAGGACTACATAATTGTAGTAATGAGTTAGTCTACAATTTTGATCTGTCTAATTAAAATACAGAAATAAACTTTGGGTTGGGATGAAGTGCTCCCTTACAGGCACTCTTGGCCCCATAGACTCACAGAATTGATGGGTTACCATGGTAACCATGAGTCTAAACTCCCTTAGCCATAGGACTAGGAACCTCTTTCAGGGTATTGTGACCTGCAGCCCTGAGGGGGAGTAGGGACCTTTTCAGGGTATTGTGACCTGCAGCCCTGAGGGGGGGGTAGGGACCTTTTCAGGGTATTGTGACCTGCAGCCCTGAAAGGGAGTAAGGACCTCTTTCGGGGTATTGTGACTGCAGCCCCGAAGAGGATTAGGAACCTCTCCCAGGGGTTTGTGACCTGCATCCCCGGAGAGGAGGGGGCTTTGACCCCCCTTACCAAGCCAGATTAGTGATTTATCTATTGATGGCATTTAGTTCCACCGGCCTGCTATTGGAGTACTTCATTCCCAACCCCTTACCCCACATATTGTTGTTGTGTTCTTATTTCTCATGGGTTGGGAGCATTAACAATGGAAAAAACCAGCAAGAAAAACCCACAGAGCACAATCAAGGATGGGCCTCCATGATGAACATGATGTCCACTGTGTAACGCTTCTTCCTAGAGGCAGTGAATTTATGGCACACTGCGTTATCAGCAGAATCGTGCAACCTAGTGATGTACTAAACCATTTAGTTTTTCAATACATAAAGTTAGTTTCAAATAATAATTTATTAATGCAGTGATAACCCAGTACTCTATGATCTACAGACACCCACTTAATTGGACACCCATATATAACAGGCAGTTTTGTTTGTCCTGGGGAAAAGCATACATTTTTTCTTTAAAATTAACCGGCTTAGTACGCACAGTAGTTAGCACAGTAGTTAATGTGGACAACAACCACTTTTCTGTGTTTCAAGTCAGAAATTCCTATATATTCTTAATCCAGCTTTACAGACACTGGTTACCCAGGCATTTTCTATTTTTCTTGTCACCATGATGTGCCAATTGTAGACATTGTACCAAGTTCACGGGTTAATAAGATTTTATTACCAAAACATCTGCAGCCAAATAGCATGACACATTTGATTTTGATACATCTTTCTTTCTTCCCCTGTTTGTAGTCCTTTGATAAATTTTCTGCCTCCTACTCAAGAAGTTTCACGTCCTTGGATTTTTGCTACAGTCATTGTTCCTACCCTTCTTCCTCCTTGTTCC